ACATCATCAGGAGATTGTCGTTGGCGTTTAGAAGTGGGACCAGAGTTGGTCCACCATGGGATGGGCTGGCGATTCGAAAATTGCCGCACCATAGAGGGAGAGGCCAGAAGCATAGTCAAAGGAGGGTGGAGGTCAGACAAATCGGAGGAGTCAGTCGAAATCCTGGTACCTGAAGCTGGTGATGAAACAGCACCAGCAAGAGGTACAGGGACATCAGGAGTGTTCAAAGAGTGGTCAAAAAACAAGGCAGGGTCAGAACGGGGTGTGGTATCAGCAAGGGGCCTGGAGGTAGCAGGTTCATGGACTAGGGCTTCCATGGTTAGGTTACTTTTCTTTTTGTTTTTAAGAAAAAAAAGAAAAAAGAAAATAAAAAAAAAAGGGGGGGGGGAACGGGGAGAAATAGTTCCTAGGAGGAATGAAAGGGCTGGAAATCACCCTCCATGCCCAAGAGGACCTCAGCACCGCAAGCAGTGCAGATGCGGCATGGAACCCATGCCATACCCTACCCTTCATGCCACTAAACCAGCAATCCAGGATAGCAACCTCACATCTGCCGAGCTACCTCGGTGGACAAAAGAGAGGGCAGCCACAAAGCATACCTTCTTTGGCCACCACCTCCGGAATCCGAAAGGCGGCCTCCAGAGATACACCCGTCACCCAAAAGACACCCAAAGCCACCCCCTGGAAGACCGGAGAGGGATCGGGATATCCCCAGACGATCCAGATTCCACGGCAAACTATGCCACCGCCAAGAACCTCAACGGAATGGGATGGGATTAACCCTGGCACCCTTCCCCCTACCTAGGAACCAGTAGGCCTGTGGGAAGAATCCCAAAGGCCAAAAAGAGGAAGGGAATAAGGGAGGGACAGGGGGGAGGAGGAAGAAAGGAAAAAGGGAGGATGGGGAGGATGGGAAAGGGAAGAGTGAACTGGGGGGTAATTAGGTTCGAGGAAGGAGACCAACAGGTCTAACTCCTCAGACCAAGAGCCTCTTCACAACGTCAAGGAGTCCCCCCTTGAAGAGAATTATCCTCTACAACCATAACAAATATTTAAGAGAGAATCAGAGGATAGTAATAGGTACAAGTATGTTAGCTATACAAGAAATCACTCTCCTCCATTTCTTGAGCTATATTCATTAGGTACCTTTTGAATTTTTTTTTTTTTTTGAGCTGTTTCATGATATGACAGGCTTTGACATGTGCAGGCAGTCCGTTCCACTACTTTATAGCTGTACACCCCTCAAGGGAGGTTCCTTGATGCTGGTGAGGGGCTCTTGATCTAGGGAATTTTATCTGTGCTCCGGTTCCCTGAATACCTTCCATTGCCCCCCTCAGATGCGCTGTATAATTCTACGGGTTTAGGGCTCCTCCATGATTATAATAATAATAATACAGCTGTACAATATAATGTGTGTGAAGCCTGACCACCGACTGTGTGTACTGCAAAGTTGTGTTTCCTTCCCCTAATATTGTACTTGCTTTGGTTTCCAGCCTTGACAAACTTGGCAGCAAGATATTCTAAACACTGTGAGCAGTTTTATAAACATAACCTAACTTCAGTTGTTTTACTCTGTCAAACATAAGAATGTCCAGTTGTTGTAATTCATCCTGGCCTACATGTTCTCTTGTACCCAGGTCCAGGAAGAATCAAAGCATTTTGTTCTGGGTGATTTGTAGTTTGTCTTTCAGAGTTTTTGTTTGTTTAAGGCAGAGTACCATGAAGAGCAAGCGTAATATATATGGCATTGTATAAGAGCAAGACTGAGGGTCCTGCGAGCCTCAGTAGGCAGACACTGCTTGTCTGTAGAAAAACTTTAGTCTGGCATTCACTTTTTTTACTACACTGTTCCCTATCAATTGTTCTGACATGCTTGAGTCAAAGGGGATTCCCAGATATTTCACTGAGTATACTGAAGTGATGGGTTCCATATTACGCTGGACATTAAATTATTTACCGTTTTCAGTTTATTTTTCATGGAAAGAGTATGTAACGAGTATGTAACGTTACATCAGAAGGTGTAATGATAATTTTTTTGTCTACTAAGCATTTGCTGCAGAGCTCTAGTTCTATCGATAGTACATTAGCTATATCTTATGGGTCTTTACCTTACACTAACAGAGCATGTCATGTACATACAACAGAAGCTTACACTTGACACTGGTGGGCATGTTATTCACATAACAGGAACAATAAGGGACTCAGAATACTCTACTGGGGAACCCCCACATGTTACCAGCAATGGTTCTGATTCTGTGTTGCTGATTTTGACAATTTGTTTCCTGTTGCTCATATAGGACTTAAACCAAACTACAGAACCTATACCGATAGCTCGTAGTTTCTTACATAATATATTATGGTTGACCATATCTCATACCTATGAGATTTCCTAGTGGCAATTCAGTTCTCAGGTAGTCTATCGGATTAATTAGGGAGGTGTCGGTCGAGTAAGATCTTCTGAAACCTAACTGCTAAGTATAATGTTTTTGTCATTAAGATACACCGCCTTCTATAGAATTTGGAAATCACACTGAGTAAACTAACAGGCCTATAGTTGCTAACATCAGATCTACTGTTTTTCTTGGAGATAGGAGTAACTTGACTCACGAAATCGTAATGACACGAGTGCAAACAAACCATACCACAGGTGGGGTTTGAACCCTCGGTCAGAGAGTCGCGTTAGCCACTGGGCCAGCTAGCTTCAATAAAATTCGTCCAACTAGGTATATTTCTACACCATAGGAAGGTTAGCATAGGCACCACTGTGACCACAAATGCAAATTTTTACAAACGAATCTCCAGCTAGCGTGGCCGTGACGAACTCTAGCTCAAGTCCCCTCAAAGCCGTCAACATGACTCAAGAAATGGTAATGACACGATTATAAATAAACCATACCACGGGTGGAGTTTGAACCCGCGGTCAGAGAGTCTCAAAAAAATTGTGTCATTACGATTTCGTGAGTCATGTTGACGGCTTTGAGGGGACTTGAGCTAGAGTTCGTCACGGCCACGCTAGCGGGAGATTCGTCTGTAAAAATTTGCATTTGTGGTCACAGTGGTGCCTATACTAGCCTTCCTATGGTGTAGACATATACCTAGTTGGATGAATCTTATTGAAGGTAGCTGGCCCAGTGGTTAACGCGACGGTCTGGAGTTTTGAGACTGACCGCGGGTTCAAACCCCACCAGTGGTATGGTTGGCTTAGATAGGAGTAACCCTGGTCTCCTTGAACCCCTCTAGAACATTATTAGCGGTGATGGACAAGTTTATTATGTGCGTAATGGGAACAGGCAATTCAGAGGCACCATTTCCTAAGAACTTAGCCGTGATGTTATTTGGACTCGTGCTTTTAATTGGGTTTAACTTGTTTAGTCGGCAACTGTTTGGGGTGACGCCAATATTAGTGCAGTAGGTCTTCAACTTAATGGAGTCTATGTTAAATGTATTCGATGCAACAGGCAGTTTACTTACTAGTGTTGATGCGACAGTTGTGTAGTATGAATTAAAACAATTTACCACTAGTTGTTTCGTGGCAAATCTCGTTATCGATATATATCACTACATTAAATCTATCTACGGGTTCATGTCTATACCCCAGCTTTTTTAGTTGTTGACAAAGCTTTCTGGGGTTATTCTTGTATTCTTCCATTTTTAACCAATAGTTCCTTGCTATTGCTCCTTTTATATGCCTCTGCACTCTCTTCCTTCTCTTTGGAATTAATTTACCGCTGCAATATCTTGTCTATTTGCCTTAAATCTCTAGCAACTGATCTTTGAATTCGATATTATAGCGACATTCGCTCTAAAAATGGTGTTGCATGAGAATGGGAGTGTTGCTGCTAAGTATTCTACTGCACCAACCTCAAAACAACTTGTATACAATGTAAGGTGTTTCCGTTGTGTGGAAAACACTTCATACTCGATGCATAATGCCAGATACACAATGTCAGATGAACGCGCACCAACAGCCAGACAGCCAGTGGACACGTGTGAAATATATGTAAATCAGACCACCCAGCCAAGACACTAATACCACAGACACATTTATGGAACACCCTCCCCAAGGTGTTTTATAATAATAATAATAATAATAATAATAATAATAATAATAATAATAATAATAATAATAATAATAATAATAATAATAATAATAATAATAAACTTTATTTCTACAAGTGAACCAGGGTATGTTATCGTGAGCTCTGCGTCTCTCGCAGCACTGTACAGCCCTTGTGGTTTAGCGCTTCTTTTGGATTATAATAATAATCTGCGTCTCTCGGTTCCATTTGGAAACTTTCCAGAGTTTTAAGTGTTTTAATGTTATTACGTATATTATATATACTATTTTTGTGTTAGGATGACATCTAAGGAGAAAGTGATGCAGGAAATTAAAAGTGCTACACTAGTGAACACTAGTGAGCACTAGTGAACACTAGTGAGCACTAGTGAACACTAGTGAACACTAGTGAACACTAGTGAACACTAGTGAACACTAGTGAACACTAGTGTAGCACTGACATGGAAAAACATTTACTGGTGTGGATGGAAGATCAAATTAGTCAGGACGTGCCTTTAAGCCGAGACATTATCCAGTCCAGGTCCTAAGTCTCTTTAATTCTATGAAGGTTGAGAGAGTAAGAAAGTTGTTAAGATAAAGTCGACGCTAGCAAAGGCTGGTTTCATCTTCTGGTTCTTACAATAACTACTACTCACCTCTCACCCTACAATGTGGACAAAAATATTTTACGGCAAATAATGAGTGTACTGTATATGCATATTATTTTTTTTTAGGTTTAATTCTATTGCTTATTTAATATATGATAATGAAAATATGTTATCAAGGATTTATATGAATTTAAAAGTGAAAAAATGGTGGTAGCCTGGAACCTAACCCACTATATAAGCAGAGTCCTCCCGTAATTTTAAAAAATTAGTTGATTAGCAGAAAAGTCATTGAAACTGGTCACAGGTATATCACAGGTACCAGAGCATTTATTTACCTTCGTTCCACAGTAAATTTGAAAAAGCGGAAGAGAAAAACTCCCTGCCATTGAGCTGATGTTGACAATGGCCCCTTTCCTGCGTGCCATCATGCCAGGCAACACTAACTTGATCATAGCTGGTACAGCTGCAGAGTTGACATTCAAAAGTGTCCAGATATCGTCTTCTGGTGCATCTTTGAAGAGACATGGAACAGAGCCAACCACTCCAACATTGTTCACTGAAATTGAGGGAAAAATGTTATTCAAATAAGCTTAACTGGCAAGAATTATTGAATAATACAAATAGAATTTGTAAGACACTTGCCATCTTCCACCAAGGCAGGAAACACTTTCACAGTCACTCAGTCACTGTTGTGGCATGCTATAAGTATGCATGTGAGATATATCACTATATCACATGCTCATGTAGGATTAACCTCACGTCCTGCAAACCAGCAGTTTAAGACCCCACTTAGGCTAAACCAGTTGGTTCAATCCAGCCAATCACAAATAAACCTGCCAATTCTGTGAAGTGAGTTCGGGAAACTTGTAGAGTAACATTGGCAGACTTACCTGCAACACTTGCCACGCAAGGTTCTCGCTTGCAAATTGTCTTATTTTACATATTCTCTGTAAATAATGCAAATAATTGCACACATGTTTTATGAAGTGAAAATACGTTAAGTATTTAGTCTCCGCTGTCTTTTGCTCGTTCCAACAATGGTTATATTGCTGAACCAGTTACTACCAGGTGCACAGGCAACCAGACTACACCTATGTTCGTAATATGGGATGCCTGTCCTGAAACAATTGTCTCTATGAGCCTGCCTTCGTTGTTGCAGTGCAAGCTTGCAAGGCTGTTGCGTGCTACTGGTACAAGCTATTTGTGTGGCTTTCTTAGTGCTGGCGGGCTATGCTACCGACAATGCAACAGAAGCTTAAAGACTGAGTATACCCTGCAAAACTTGCCCAGACTATCTTAATAGTGCTGCTGGTGAATTGTTCATTCCATTGTTAAAGAGCAGCGGTTCTTAACCTGGGGTCATTTGGGTTTCTCAGGGGGTCACAAAGGGTTAGGGAGAATATAATTTATTTTCGTATATTTGAATTAGCCAGTTGGGCTTTTACCAGTTTGGTGAGTGGCAACACTGGTCACAAGTGCGGTGGTCTGCTACAGTAAACACATCAACCACAACCAGTCATTTAGTCAGTTCATAGTTATGGTGGAGGATGTCAATATGTCGCTCTTGCTCCCAGACTCCCAAGGCAGTTTCCTGTTTGCACTATGTCTGCCAAGAAGCGTACGTACAGTGAAGCCTTTCTCAAGATGGGTTTCACAAGCATCATTCAGAACTCTGTGGTCAAGCTGTAATGTATCGTTTGCACCAAAGTTTTGAGTCACGAAAGTATGAAGCCAAGCAAACTCAAGGTCCATTTTCAGTCTTGCTACAGCCACCTGGTGGACAAAAGCTTGAACTTTTTTAAGCAAAAAGAAGCTTCTCTGAAGGCCAGTCATATCGACTTCACTGGTCACTTTGCTCGTCAGAATGAAGCAGCGTTGGAGGCTTCATACAGAATTGCTCTAAAAATCGTGCATACCAAGAAGCCTCATACCAATGGCGAAGACCTGACTAAGCCTTGCATTCTGGAAGCAACGAAGGTGGTGCTTGGAGACAGCAGCAAACAAGTTGAGGGCAATTTCGAATGGTACAGTCAGAAGTCAGAGTGAGGATTCTGCTGCAGGTAGTGGTGCTGTGAGTAGTAGTCCAGTGTATTCATTGCAGCTGGACGAGTCAACGGATGTCGATTCATGTTCCCAACTTTTTGTTTATATTCGTTACCTTGACAGGGAAGTTATGAAGGAGGAGTATTTGTTCTCTGAACACTGGCCACAACCACTTATGGAGAAGATATTTTCAATATCCTTGAAGCCTTTCTCCTTAAACACAAGCTAGGTTGGGAAGCACTTGTCCGAGTGTGTACAGATGGGGCTCCTTCTATGACCGGTTGCAAAGCCTTCGTGAAGAACGTTGCTCCGCATGTCTCCTTCACTCACTGTATGATTCATCGGCATGCTTTGGCGATGAAGACTCTCCCACCTGGACTTGAAGAAGTGCTCACAGTCGTTGTAAATATTGTAAACCATATCCGATGGAGCCCAACGACTTCAAGGATTTTTAGTGCTTTGTGAAGAAATGGGTGCCGACTTCTCTATTCTCCTATTTCACAAAGAGGTACGTTGTCTCTCATGTGGCAAGATTCAAAATCGCGTGCTACAACTTCTAGAGGAAATAACAGTGCTGTTGGAACGAGGTCGTACGGCGAAGGAGAATCTTCTTCATGAAAAGACGCATACCAGGAGTATACCTGGAGAGGGTTTCAGGGGTCAACGCCACCCCAGCCCGGTCTGTGACCAGGCTTTAGTTTTGTAACAGACTGTTTTGTAACAAAGGTTGCCTACTTGGCATATTTATTCACTGAAGTCAGTTCAGCGAATATTTCATTCCAAGGAAACCTTACAATGCTGCACATGGCTCGTGACAAAGTGGCAGCGTTTAATAAGTGTAAAATTCAACATTGCCAGAAGCGTTGAGAACGGTGACACAACTTTCTTCACTCAGATGACAACTCTCCTGGATTCTATGCCAGATGATGAATGCAGTTTCTGTGAAGAGATCCCAACTCATCTTTTGGCAGTGAATGATGTCATCGAAAGTAACTTTCCAGGACTGGACGACTGCTCTACTGATACGTGGATCTACAGACCATTTTCAGTCAAGGACAGTGCCGTCAGTGATACTGATGTTTCTGCTAAGGTAGAATTTCTTCAAATTCGTGAGGATTCTCAGCTGAAAGTCGACTTTACTGAACTAGAACTCCCGACATTTTGGGCAAGTGCAAGACGATTGTCTCATTTTTTCAATGCGCGCACTGACAATGCTGATCCAGACCCCGTCAACCTATGCTGCACTGACCATGCTGAGCCAGTCCCCGTCAGCCTATCGCTGCGAGGTTGGATTCTCAGCAATGGCAACACTGAAAATGAAGGCACGCAATAGGCATGTGATCGATGCTGACATGAGGTGTTGCCTGTCGAGCGCTGCTCCTCGCTTTCATAGACTTGTGGCTGCAAAACAATTTCAACCCTCCCACTGAGGAGGGTTCAATAGTTCTATGGAACTTGCAATGTTCTGGCATTTGTAGAGGTTATGTAGAATTTTTCAAGATTTTTGTTCTGTGGCATTTTCAATAAACCATGGTCTTCCTATCATTTTGTTTTATCTTTCCTTTTCACAAGGTTCACTATTTCAAAGTTTATTACAGGGGCCATGGTAATACCGTGAAGAGTCTCGCGGGGTCATAGGATAAAAAAGGTCAAGAACCGCGGTTATAGAGTATCAACGCACTCTTACTGCTGCATATCTTCATAAGCATATCCTCAACAAGCTAAGGTCTGACTGTACAATATGGAGTTACAAAATAGTCCTACTACTACGGACGGCAACTGTTAATGGAGGAGGGGGGGGACAAACTCTGGAACAACAGAACAACTATCAACCTGTGCAAATAGGTGGTGAATCGAGTTTCAGGATCAGTAAGCTTCCTTAGCACTTGAGCTAGCTAAATAAGGTCTTGGGCACACCAGAGAGCAGTGTACCTTCTGAAAGGAAGAATTTGATAGAGAGCAGGAGAGGAGACAGTTTTGGAATACAACGGAAGACAGTTTCATCGTTTAGAAATCTGTCTCGGAAGTTTCTGACTCTGATCCTAAGCAGTTCTTTACGGTGCTGCTAGCGAAATCATTTTTTTTTTTTGGGTCCAGTTTCAATTAAATTTTTACAGTGATATAAGCAGCATTTGAAGCCTACACACTGTGTTTGTAGTGACTTTTTGCCTTAAAAGATACAAAAAAAATAGTGCCCTATTCTATAGGCATAAAACTCTCCCTTATCTACAAAATTTTTAAGATGTACAATACTCTAGTTGATAATCTTGGTACTGACCCCATTTGAGCGAAAATTTCAATAGATTGCATAATAAAAAAATGTTGAAGTTTATTATTTTTTAAGGATTTTTTGAGGGAGAAAAAATCAATAAAAAGAAAGTGGTAAAAAATATTGTAGATCTCCTTTACATGCTAGTAGAACCATCATTACTCAATAACGTGTGCAAAAATCATGACATTCCTATAAATATTTTGCCAAAAATGGAAAATAATGTCAATAATTTATACCTGATTTATACATATACTGTATTATGTTTTCTGTAAAACTCTATGGTCATGGTGCACAACATTTCAGCGTCTTGAACACCTCAACACATGACAGCCCACAGGCGACTGAGCTGTTATCACTCCCTGAATTTGAATGAAGTCCTCAGAGAAGTTGCAATGTAGTGTATTTAGAATTCAAATTCAAAGTTCTCTATAAGGATTACAATGCTGGGTTTACAGAAATTTGGTTATTGTTTGGTTTACATGTAGTAAAATTGTGATTACAGAGTGTACCACTAGAACGCTTAGCATGGCTAGGCATTTCGGGCATACTTGGTTTTATTCTTAATTGTAAAATATTACAAATTATGAGGTAAGTTGGTATTATGGCTAAGTGACTAAATACTAGTTTATGAGTTTAGCAATGTGAATGCTTTTGTTTTGGCACAGTATATAGTTTCAGTATTGGAGTATCACAGGATTCATTATTTTAAGACTGAGATTAATATTTCTGTTTATGGTCAAATGAGTGAGCGAGTGTAAGTGTGAACCAATCATAAAAATCGTAATTTTTGGAGGAAAAAAAACAAATTGTCATGTTCTTTTGATGACAGCAAGAAGAAAAAAAATACATTTTTGGAAAACATACTTAGAAATATGATGGAAACAAGCTAATTACATCAACTTGTTGCCAGAATTATGCACTATTTTTTGACAAGATCATTTTTCCCATAATCTTTCAATTTCCATTCTCATCATTTCTAAAAAATTCACACCTCCCTTCAAGTCTTTTGAAAATCAAGCTAGAGCTTGGTGATTTCCACTCGAGCATTGGGCACCACTGGTTCATGCCAGATTGTATGGTAAAGCACAGAAATTCATGGCTGGTTTGAATGATGAAGATTTCTCTGATTTTAACATTGTGAAAGTGGCTGTACTCATTGCATATCAGTATATTCCTGCCAAATATATGCAGGAGTTTAAATTTAGTGTCAGTTGGGTCAGTCCCATGTGGACTTTGTGTGTTCACAATCTAAAATATTTACCAAATGGTGCAAGACAGTTGGTGTCTCTAATTTTAGTGAGCTAGAGCAGTTGATTATGATAGATAATCTTGAGTAGTCAGTTGTGCCAGAGATAATGTTTCATTAGAGGACCATTCAGTGGCAAATGCTATAGAGGTGGTCAGACTTGCAGGTACTTTGAGGCTAAATGCTCCTTGTCCAAGCGGTCTACTATCTTTTCTTCTCACCAGTTTGGTATGGACAGAAATCGTCATGGAAGGGCCTCTGGATTTCGTCCAAAAAATGGAAGCTGGAACTGAGATACGACGTCTGCCTGAAGATCACAAAGGTGCACGAGACAAGATTCCCAAGCCCATAACCTATTAGTACTGCCATAAGCATGGCCACATCAAGGGCATGTGCCCTAAACTATGTAAAAGACTGCTAGTGGTAAAAAATATCACAGCCTCTGGGAAAAAATAACTATACTTATAGATGAAGCAAATCAGTGGGATATATATGCCTATATGGCACCTTTTTATAGTACTAGTCAAATCTCCATTAAGGAACAGGAATGCCTCAGAAAGTAAGAGTGAGCTTATTGCCCCCTCTTACTTTCTGAGATGTCTATAAATTCCTAAGCATTGTTAGAAACTTATGGGGGGCTGTGATTTCAGTTCAGAGTAAGATTTTCATCAAAAACAACTAGTATTACACTAGCTACACTGGTCAAGAACTAAAATGCTTCCGAGACCAGAAAAGCAATTTCCAACTAATATTAGGTCACTGGTAATGAATATCAAGGTTAAAATTGTTTGTTAGCTCAACTTTTCAATATACACCTAAGTGTCACAACAGGTTCCAACAGGCTTGTGGCAACAGGTTCCAACAGGCTTGTGGTGGTGTGTTTCTTACCACACTCAAAGTCTCTCTGCCCTTCATTATTGTTCCCAGGGCCGGATTCAGACCTTGGGGGGCCCGGGGCACTTTAAGTTTGGGGGGCCCGGGGCACTTTAGGTTTGGGGGGCGCTCAACATGGAAGTTAAATTGAATTACAAATAAGAAGTGAACTAAAATGAATGATAAACAGCAGTTTTGTTTTCGGAAAAAAAAATGTTGGGTTTGGAAGAAGACATCTGGTTTTATTTTTCTCAATTTTATTGACTTTATAATAAATACACATCGGTAGTAATTACCGATGTGTATTTATTTATATCTTTGGTGTCACGCTTTTGGTATCTATATATATATATATATTTTATATAATAATTTGCTAATGGGCCGACTGACCAACCGATCGACCATCCGACCAACCAACTAAACAATTAAGTTAAAATAGTGTAATTAATAAAAGGAAGAATTATAATTATTATTATTATTATAATCAAAAAGAAGGCTAAGCCACAAGGACTATACAGTGCTGCAGGGTAGGGAAGGAAGCGAGGGTATTGGGCGGCAGAAGGGGGCAGGGATGATCAGTAGGTTACAGAAAGCAGTGGCGCAGGGGATAGTGTGGGGGTAGAGGGCAGCAAGAGATTGAGGTAGAAAGGGCTGAAGGTATCATCAGAGTTTGTGAAGTGAGTCAGTTGTTGTCAAAAAGTCAATGAGGGAGTCTGGATGAAAGGTGGGTCCATCAGCGTGAAGGGAAGGTAAAGAAAGAGCAGCGGAGTGAAGACGACGTTGGAGGTATATTCTGCGTGCTCGTTGATAAAGTGGGCAGCCTAATAGAATGTGGCTGACCGATAATGGGACCTGACAATTCTCACAGAGAGGAACAGGGCGTCTCTCCATGAGATATCCATGAGTAAGACGAGTATGGCCAATGTGAAGACGGGAGAGAGTAGTCTCCCAACCTCGACACTGGTGACAAGAAGACAGCCAGTAACCTATACTCGGTTTAATAGATTGAAGTTTGTTACTGAGCAGAGTGGACCAACTTGTTGCCAACGGGTGTGAAGGTGGGTAGCTATTGCAGCAAAATAGTCCGGAAATGGAACACCTCTATATGAAACTGGTAGGTCATGTACTGCTGACCACGCAGCAGTGTCTGCCTGTTCATTGCCCTGTTTATTATTCTGTGTTCTATTTGTTAGGCAGTTATTGATCCATTTATCAACTTTCCCCGTTATTCCTTTATGACGCATTTTGTGCTCTATTACACCATGATCGCAATTGCCGAAAGCTTTTATAAAGTCTGTGTATACTACATCTGTATTTTGTTTGTCCTCTATAAGATCCAGGACCTTCTCATAGTGGTCCAGTAGCTGGGACAGGCAGGAGGGACCTGCTCTAAACCCGTGTTATCCTGGGTTGTGTAACTGATGGGTATCTAGGTGGTTGGCGATCTTGCTTCTAAGTACCCTTTCAAAGATTTTTATGACATGGGATGCTAGTGCTATTGGTCAGTAGTTTTTTTCAATTGCTTTACTGTCACATTTGCAGAATGGAGCTATGTCTGTTGTTTTTAGCGAGTGTGGGATGACCCCTGTGACCATGTTCCCTCTCCGTAGAATACTTAAGGCACGTGACAGGGGCATCATGCAGTTCTTGATGAACATGGAGTTCCATGAGTCGGGTTGCATGGGCTTGTCATTAATTGCCTTTTGCCTTTTCAAATATTCATTTACATTGTAAACCCTTCATTTTGATAATGGCTCGCTAAACACTGAGTCGTATTGAGACTATGGTATCTCACTTATTTCTTTGCTGTCATCTGTGTAGGTCCCATCCAGCCTGAGTTGAGGCCCAATACTGGATGCTGTTTTACCCATAGATTTGGCATATGTGAAGAAATATTCTGGGCTTCTTTCAACTTCCTTTATGGTTTTTAGCTTTTCCTAAGGTTCTCTTCTCTAGTAAGATTCCTTAAGCTTAAGCTCGATATTTGCTATTTCTCTGACCAGAGCTTCCCTTCGTATTCCACATATATTGGCCCCTCTTAGCAGGTTTGTGATTCTTCACCTGTATAGGGAGCGTCTCTCTCTTTCTAGTTTACATCTTCTCTTTCTTTTTCTCTTAATGGAATGTGCCTTAAGCATACCTCAAGTGCCACAGGTTCGGATCCGTGTTGTTTAGAATATCTTCCCAGTTTGTTTCATTTAGGACATGGTTGACCTGTTCCCATTGTATATTTTTGTTATTGAAGTTAAATTTTGTTAAGGCACCCTCATAAGGGATCACATTTTGCTGGTCATGAGCCCTTATGTTGTGATCTGAGTGTATTGTCTTTGCTACGGTTATATTAAGATCATTGTTGTTAGTTGCGATGAGGTATGGCCTCTTTTATAGTCTTGTAGGCTCTATTATTTGCAGGTTTAAGGTGGATTTTTTGCAGAGATTTAATAGATTGTGTGTCTGTGAATTTTCGTCTGAGGGGGATCTCTGCTAAAACATTATTTGCTACACTCCTCTATTTTAAGTGTTTCAAGTTGATCAAAAACCGAATATTCCTGCTACTTTAAGATCAATTTCTAGATATTTCTGATCCTGAAACCTTGTTTATATCTTGGGTGAGTTTCAAGAAATTTTCTTCTCCCAGAATCTGGCCTTGAGTTGGAAAAATCATCTCTGTTTCAGAAGTAGGTCTCCCATTCTGTTAAATGATACCAGGAAATAGCTAATAACACTATAAACCCATCCTACAAAGCATCTGAAAATCGCTATTTTAAACCATTCACATAGAGGTTTTTTTCCACATCATGCACTGCGTTGGATAGTGTTGTTTTAATACTGCACAGACCCATTCTCTCATATCTAAGTCAAAATTAGTCACTCAGTTTATTTAAGTGAACTGAGTTCATGACGCAGAACTACGTGAGGGATCCTGACCTCAGTGACGAAGTTCTATTTGACGTCCAATGAAAGGTATAAAATTTATATAGAATGGTTTAGTAGGGTTATTTAAGCTTAATTAAACCAAGTGCAGCTTTAAGAATAAATGAGAGAAATATGTAAGTGAGATGGGTTGGTTTTCAAGACCCAACATGTAAAGACCAGATGACCAGCTACAGTGTTCCCCTGTTCTTATGTTCTGACTAATTTTGTTCTTCTGATAGTATGTTAATATAATTTTGGGTAGCTTATGCAATTAGGAGGAAGGGATGGGTAGGAGGTAATACTTTGGGGGTTTATTTAGTAAAAACCCTGACTTATAACTAAAAATTACACAAAACTAAACATGACACTTACCTAAAAATAAACTTACCTAAAATTCCAATCTCTTTTCCTTCAAGATGTTTCCTAATGTTATCATAAATGGGTCGACCATCAGTAAAATCTGCTCGTACGATATCAGTTTCAACTTCATACTGGCCACCTGCAGCACAACAGTGAGAATGTTCAACATGGTGTCTTAACATTAGTAAGAATAATCATTGTTATGTAATAATCATAAGAATAATAATTTTAATATAAATTTCAGTATTTCATAGGATTAATAAAGTGGGGAAGTAGTAGTCGAATGATTATAACTATAATAATAAGTTTTAAAGAGGTGGACTGGTAAGCCAGCGGAAGGCCTCTGTCAGTTGACCAAAAGCTCCAATGGCTGGTCATCATCTGACTAAGATCAGTGTCAGGAAACACTTGTCCTGTTTCCTGACAAACCTCGCCTAACCTAAGTAGTAGACCAGTGTGGTGCGGTGTCCAAGAAATTGTAGGTAGGTAAACTCAACTCTCAATATAACGGAACAGAATAAGGGAGAGTGAGTGGCCAGCAGTGGCCAGCAGTGGCCAACAGTGGCCACTCACTCTCCCGTATAAAACCAACAGACTTTTTCTCCTTAGTTTCCGATATGATTTGCATAACAGATTTTGTTCTATGTATCTGAAGCTCATTATACAGAGGCTCCCGGGGTCAACGCCCCCAGGGCGTTGACCCCGGGCACAATACCACGACTAGAACAATACACAAATAGCCCGCACATGGAAGAGAGGAGCTTACGGCGACGTTTCGGTCCGACTTGGACCATTTACAAAGTCACACTAACAAAAAGGAGAGAAGGAGGGAGTATACGTAGGCCCGCCTTGGCTACCCTTCCCATTTCATAGACTCTGCCTTCTCACAACTTTCTTCTCTCCCAAACTCTCTACTCCTGGGAACTCTCCTGTCCTCTGCCTTCCCTACATTTCCGGTCCTTCTAATCTCAACAACTCTCTCCGTTCCTTAGACATCAAACTTATTTTCACCAGACTAACACTCTTCACACCACTCTAGTTCATACCTCTCCTCCCTCTATAGATGTTCCTGGTGTCTACTGTATTTCTTGTTCCTCCTGTCCTCTTCAGTACTTTGGAGAAACTGGCCGATCTCTTTCTGGCAGACTTAGGGAGCACAAAAGTAGTGTTAGGCTTGCCAACACCAACAATGCACTTTTCTGTCATGTCAGAGATCACAGTCATCCTATAGAATGGTCTTCCGCTAAAACTGTCTACTCTCCTTCTAACTTTCACAGTCGCCGTCTGGTTGAATCCTCCCTAATACACAACTTTCCTTGTATGAATCTTAGTCATGGCTTCGTCTCTGTACATGCCTTCCTCTCCCACTACATTGTAAAATGCTCCAAACTTCAGAACATCCGTGATTTAACATGATTCTTTTCTTATTTCCCCTTCTCCCTCTTCCCCTTTCCTCTTTCCTCTTTCTCCTTTGGGTTTTCTTTCATCAGCCTTGGGAATTTGTTCTTTATTATTATTTCCCCCATCAGTGTTCTTGCTCTTACCCTCTGTGGGCACCTAGTTCCCTTGTGGGCACCTAGTTCCCTTGTGGGCACCTAGTTCCCTTGTGGGCACCTAGTTCCCTTGTGGGCACCTAGTTCCCTTGTGGGCACCTAGTTCCCTTGTGGGCACCTAGTTCCCTTGTGGGCACCTAGTTCCCTTGTGGGCACCTAGTTTCCTTGTGGGCACCTAGTTCCCTTGTGGGCACCTAGTTCCCTTGTGGGCACCTAGTTCCCTTGTGGGCACCTAGTTCCCTTGTGGGCACCTAGTTCCCTTGTGGGCACCTAGTTCCCTTGTGGGCACCTAGTTCCCTTGTGGGCACCTAGTTCCCTTGTGGGCACCTAGTTCCCTTGTGGGCCCTAGTTCCCTTGTGGGCACCTAGTTCCCTTGTGGGCACCTAGTTCCCTTGTGGGCACCTAGTTCCCTTGTGGGCACCTAGTTCCCTTGTGGGCACCTAGTTCCCTTGTGGGCACCTAGTTCCTTGTGGGCACCTAGTTCCCTTGTGGGTACCTAGTTCCCTTGTGGGCACCTAGTTCCCTTGTGGGCACCTAGTTCCCTTGTGGGCACCTAGTTCCCTTGTGGGCACCTAGTTCCCGTGTGGGCACCTAGTTCCCTTGTGGGCACCTAGTTCCTTGTGGGCACCTAGTTCCCTTGTGGGCACCTAGTTCCCTTGTGGGCACCTAGTTCCCTTGTGGGCACCTAGTTCCCTTGCAGTGCTCCTCTTTCTTAATATTTCACTGACTCCACTACCACTACCTCCACCACTACCTCTCTTGCTTCCGTCAATGTCTGACTCCACTACCACTACCTCCACCACTACCTCTCTTGCTTCCGTCAATGTCTGACTCCACTACCACTACCTTCACCACTACCTCTCTTGCTTCCGTCAATGTCTGACTCCACTACCACTACCTCCACAACTACCTCTCTTGCTTCCGTCAATGTCTGACTCCACTACCACTACCTCCACCACTAACCTCTCTTGCTTCCGTCAATGTCTGACTCCACTACCACTACCTCCACCACTACCTCTCTTGTTTCCGTCAATGTCTGACTCCATACCACTACCTCCACCACTACCTCTCTTGCTTCCGTCAATGTCTGACTCCACTACCGCTACCTCCACCACTACCTCTCTTGCTTCCGTCAATGTCTGACTCCACTACCACTACCTCCACCACTACTTCTCTTGCTTCCGTCAATGTCTGACTCCACTACCACTACCTCCACCACTACCTCTCTTGCTTCCGTCAATGTCTGACTCCACTACCACTACCTCCACCACTACCTCTCTTGCTTCCGTCAATGTCTGACTCCACTACCACTACCTCCACCACTACCTCTCTTGCTTCCGTCAATGTCTGACTCCACTACCACTACCTCCACCACTACCTCTCTTGCTTCCGTCAATGTCTGACTCCACTACCACTACCTCCACAACTACCTCTCTTGCTTCCGTCAATGTCTGACTCCACTACCACTACCTCCACCACTACCTCTCTTGCTTCCGTCAATGTCTGACTCCACTACCACTACCTCCACTACTACCTCTCTTGCTTCCGTCAATGTCTGACTCCACTACCACTTCCTCCACCACTACCTCTCTTGCTTCCGTCAATGTCTGACTCCACTACCGCTACCTCCACCACTACCTCTCTTGCTTCCGTCAATGTCTGACTCCACTACCGCTACATCCACCACTACCTCTCTTGCTTCCGTCAATGTCTGACTCCACTACCACTACTCCACCACATACCTCTCTTGCTTCCGTCAATGTCTGACTCCACTACCACTACCTCCACCACTACCTCTCTTGCTTCCGTCAATGTCTGACTCCACTACCGCTACCTCCACCACTACCTCTCTTGCTTCCGTCAATGTCTGACTCCACTACAACTACCTCCACCACTACCTCTCTTGCTTCCGTCAATGTCTGACTCCACTACCACTACCTCCACCACTACCTCTCTTGCTTCCGTCAATGTCTGACTCCACTACCACTACCTCCACCACTACCTCTCTGCTTCCGTCAATGTCTGACTCCACTACCACTACCTCCACCACTACCTCTCTTGCTTCCGTCAATGTCTGACTCCACTACCACTACCTCCACACTACCTCTTGTTTCCGTCAATGTCTGACTCCACTACCACTACCTCACCACTACCTCTCTTGCTTCCGTCAATGTCTGACTCCACCACCACTACCTCCACCACTACCTCTCGCTTCCGTCAATGTCTGACTCCACTACCACTACCTCCACCACTACCTCTCTTGCTTCCGTCAATGTCTGACTCCACTACCACTACCTCCACCACTACCTCTCTTGCTTCCGTCAATGTCTGACTCCACTACCACTACCTCCACCACTACCTCTCTTGCTTCCGTCAATGTCTGACTCCACTACCACTACTCTCACCACTACCTCTCTTGCTTCCGTCAATGTCTGACTCCACTACCACTACCTCCACCACTACCTCTCTTGCTTCCGTCAATGCCTGACTCCACTACCACTACCTCCACCACTACCTCTCTTGCTTCCGTCAATGTCTGACTCCACTACCACTACCTCCACCACTACCTCTCTTGCTTCCGTCAATGTCTGACTCCACTACCACTACTCCACCCTACCTCTCTTGCTTCCGTCAATGTCTGACTCCACTACCACTACCTCCACCACTACCTCTCTTGCTTCCGTCAATGTCTGACTCCACTACCACTACCTCCACCCTACCTCTCTTGCTTCCGTCAATGTCTGACTCCACTACCACTACCTCCACCACTACCTCTCTTGCTTCCGTCAATGTCTGACTCCACTACCACTACCTCCACCACTACCTCTCTTGCTTCCGTCAATGTCTGACTCCACTACCACTACCTCCACCACTACCTCTCTTGCTTCCGTCAATGTCTGACTCCACTACCACTACCTCCACCACTACCTCTCTTGCTTCCGTCAATGTCTGACTCCACTACCACTACCTCCACCACTACCTCTCTTGCTTCCGTCAATGTCTGACTCCACTACCACTACCTCCACACTACCTCTCTTGCTTCCGTCAATGTCTGACTCCACTACCAGTACCTCCACCACTACCTCTCTTGCTTCCGTCAATGTCTGACTCCTCTACCACTACCTCCACCACTACCTCTCTTGCTTCCGTCAATGTCTGACTCCACTACCACTACCTCCACCACTACCTCTCTTGCTTCCGTCAATGTCTGACTCCACTACCACTACCTCCACCACTACCTCTCTTGCTTCCGTCAATGTCTGACTCCACTACCACTACATCACCACTACCTCTCTTGCTTCCGTCAATGTCTGACTCCACTACACTACCTCCACCACTACCTCTCTTGCTTCCGTCAATGTCTGACTCCACTACCGCTACCTCCACCACTACCTCTCTTGCTTCCGTCAATGTCTGACTCCACTACCTCTACATCCACCACTACCTCTCTTGCTTCCGTCAATGTCTGCTGGCCTATATATACTCTCTCTTCTCCTTTTTGTTAGTGTGACTTTCTAAAAGTCGGACCGAAACGTCATCGTAAGCTCCTCTCTTCTATGTGCGGGTTATTTGTGTAATTGATCTTATCTGAACCAATATGATACAATCTCTCAAAGCAGAGATAACAACAGATAACACCACCACTGACCACTACCCAATCTTTCTTATTACCATTAACGTAAATTACCACAAGACACTAATATGATATCATTTCGTCTCCATGATGAGACATCAGTAAAAAACCTTATTTCAACATTAATATATATTAACTAGCACAGAGAATTTGCTGACAGTCGTGAAATTGACGAATGCATCAGAATTTTCTTCAAAAAAATCTACAATGACACTGTCCAATTAAAACTAAACATCACAACATAGAGACTTACAAATAGCATCTTCAGATCCATTGATGAAAAACATCAATATAAAAAAACAGCTCAACCTGGGCTTAATAACTAAGGATCAGACCAAACAATATGCATCACTACTAGCCAATTTAATAAGGAAGTCTAAACAGATTTATTATACAAGTAGATTTAATGAAACAAAAGCGGAAATGAAAAAGACCTGGAAAATCATCGAAATCCTGGGCTGCCTAAAACCTTCAAAACTAGAGATTTAGACTTAATTAACCCAGATGAATCTCACATCCAGACTTCTTCTCCAGATTTCTTCTCTTTTATATAATCAAAACTAGCAAAACTATGTAGCAAAATCCCAACTTCATATACTTAGACGAGTGACTATCGTACATGAAATGTCCCAAATTCACTATATCTGGCTCCTACTAATTCTACTGAAGTCACACTCATAAAATAGTCACTGAAAAAGAAGACAGAAAGCCTCACTAATTTGTATAATCAGTGTATCGATTGAATTTAAATTGAATCATGGCTGAATCTGATCAAGTAAATGTAACTGATAATTCCATGGGGAATTAGAACAATGAAATCTTCATTGAATTCTAGGAAAGGTTAAGTCGCCAGGGTAAATAATAAGTGGCTGGACTTAATGATTCAGGAAACTGTGAACGCTGATGAATTAAAATTGTATTTAGATGCTTTGGTAAGTAGATATGAGTCATATAAATTGCATTACCAAAATTGTGAGTGAGATCTTCTGGAGAATTGTGCAGATGATAATGCAAGGGAATTATTATATAATCAATATTATGTATAGGAAGAAAACAATTAAAGAGTGTAAACAATGGAGTTAACCAACCTAGTAGTGTAAATAAGATGTGTCTACCAAAACTCCCAGACTTATGTTTACCTGTATTTAATCCAGGAGAGTTGGGAGGAATTTTGGTATATATTTAAAGTAGCTGTGCACAATAGAAATTAACTGGTTTGTGTTATTAAATTATTCTGCCTCAAAGGACAGGTAAGAATCATCTACATTTGTAGATGATTCTTACAAGGAAGAAGTTGACTTGTTGAAGGTCACTTATGGTAATTTAGAACAAAGTAGGTTGGACTTGGTAATCATTGTAGTTAACTTAAAAACTATAGCTCACAATTACAGACGTTCACAGCAATTTAGAGTTAAACTAGAGAGCTCTCTTAATAAATATGATCTGGATAGATCACATTGGTTAATGAGTGTCATTGCGAACAATAAATTGAGCAGTAAAACTGTGGAATGATTATCTAACAAACACCACGAAGGTTATTTTTGTCTGAAGGAAACAAGACTAGGTCTGCAAGAATTAATTGTTCAGTTGCAGACCAGCCAGCCAAATAATTCTAGCGATACAACACATAATGACTTTGATGTATTAGTCAAGTTTCACAAAGGGAAAAATTATCCCACTTTTAATAATCATAATTCATCTTCTAAAAAGGGGTGCATAGGCACATATCAAGTGGCAGGAACACTGTTCATTTGTTTGTAAGGTTAAAATGCCTATCAATTGCACAGGACTCGGTAAGTCTACAATAAAACTAGTGAAAGAACTAAAACTTAGTGCAACATACGGATCTCCTGGGCAACTTTCTCCAACTTCTCCTGTGTGCGGGAGATCAGTACAATATTCATACCCTTCTTGGCCAGTTCAATAGCATATGCCTTCCCGATGCCATCTGTGGCCCCTGTCACAACTGTAAAGTAATAAGAATATTAGAAAAAATACTCCATACTTGGGACAGGAAACTTTAAATGACAATTTGGTCTGTCCTGGATTATTATTAAGTCAGTTGTGACTTTATAATGACCCGAGACAGATCACAGTGTTGTATAAAGTTTGTTCTACACCATGTTGGTTATTTGTCAACTGACTTACACAAGAACAATTGCTGTAATGATGTTTAATACGCTTTATCACAAAGTAATAATAATAATAATATAATAATAATAATAAATAATATAATAATAATAATAATAATAATAATAATCTTTATTTCTACAAGTACATGTACAAGGTATACAAGCCTAACTTACTTCAGTTACATGCGCTACTATATAAAAAGCCCTTTGTTACAGAGAGCACTTCGGGCAACTAGGTTAGTTTTTTCACAGGATGCGACCCACACCAGTCAGCTAACATCCAGGTACCTATCTTCTTCTAGGTGAACAGGGACATAAGGTGCCTTAATTAAGGAAACACGTCCTAATGTTTTCACCCTTACTGGGGATCGAACCACGGACTTCAATGTGGGAGCTGAGTGCGCTAGCAATGGAGCTACGGGATAGGGCAATGAATAAGATTATATACGTGTGGATACAGTAAATAATACAATCACTGAAAATTCAACAAAATAAAATTTAATACCAGATAGTGAAGGTGACACAAGCAAAGCTCTGCTACTGGAGCTACAGACATACAATAATATATTAAGACGCGATCTGTCAGGATGACAGGTGAAAATTTGTAGCATTTTGTTGATGACACTTGATGTTTGTTTATGACTGTGTAAATATAGAGAGAAATACCTAAAAGTAAGTACAGAAAGGCAAGAAGCTGATAATCTCACTGTAACTACACGATGCTGTAACATTAACAGTCATTTAGCTGATAATCTCACTGTAACTACACGATGCTGTAACATTAACAGTCATTTAGCTGATAATCTCACTGTAACTACACGATGCTGTAACATTAACAGTCATTTAGCTGATAATCTCACTGTAACTACACGATGATGTACCATTAACAGTCATTTAGCTGATAATCTCACTGTAACTACACAATGATGTACCATTAACGGTCATTAAGCTGATAATCTCACAGTAACTACACGATGTTGTAACATTAACAGTAATATTGCTGATAATCTCACTGTAACTACACGATGCTGTAACATTAACAGTCATTCAGCTGATACAATCTCACTGTAACTACACGATGCTGTAACATTAACAGTCATTCAGCTGATAATCCCACTGTAACTACACGATGTTGTAACATTAACAGTAATATTGCTGATAATCTCACTGTAACTACATGATGCTGTAACATTAACAGTCATTCAGCTGATAATCCCACTGTAACTACACGATGTTGTAACATTAACAGTAATATTGCTGATAATCTCACTGTAACTACACGATGCTGTAACATTAACAGTCATTTAGCTGATAATCTCACTGTAACTACACGATGCTGTAACATTAACAGTCATTTAGCTGATAATCTCACTGTAACTACACGATGCTGTAACATTAACAGCCATTTAGCTGATAATCTCACTGTAACTACACGATGCTGTAACATTAACAGTCATTTAGCTGATAATGTCACTGTAACTACACGATGCTGTAACATTAACAGTCATTCAGCTGATAATCCCACTGTAACTACACGATGTTGTAACATTAACAGTAATTCAGCTGATAATCCCACTGTAACTACACGATGCTATAACATTAACAGCCATTTAGCTGATAATCTCACTGTAACTACATGATGCTGTAACATTAACAGTAATTCAGCTGATAATCCCACTGTAACTACACGATGCTGTAACATTAACAGCCATTTAGCTGATAATCTCACTGTAACTACACGATGCTGTAACATTAACAGTCATTTAGCTGATAATGTCACTGTAACTACACGATGCTGTAACATTAACAGTCATTCAGCTGATAATCCCACTAACTACACGATGTTGTAACATTAACAGTAATTTAGCTGATAATCCCACTGTAACTACACGATGCTGTAACATTAACAGTCATTCAGCTGATAATCTCACTGTAACTACATGATGTTGTAACATTAACAGTAATTCAGCTGATAATCCCACTGTAACTACACGATGCTGTAACATTAACAGCCATTTAGCTGATAATCTCACTGTAACTACATGATGCTGTAACATTAACAGTAATTCAGCTGATAATCCCACTGTAACTACACGATGCTGTAACATTAACAGTCATTTAGCTGATAATCTCACTGTAACTACACGATGCTGTAACATTAACAGTCATTTAGCTGATAATCTCACTGTAACTACACGATGCTGTAACATTAACAGTCATTTAGCTGATAATCTCACTGTAACTACACGATGCTGTAACATTAACAGTCATTTAGCTGATAATCTCACTGTAACTACACGATGCTGTAACATTAACAGTAATTCAGCTGATAATCCCACTGTAACTACACGATGCTGTAACATTAACAGTAATATTGCTGATAATCTCACTGTAACTACACGATGTTGTAACATTAACAGTAATTCAGCTGATAATCCCACTGTAACTACACGATGCTGTAACATTAACAGTCATTCACTAAACATAGAAGTATTTATACAAACAGTGAATATGTTAGTGATTAATAATAAAGTGTGAAATATACAGCAATTAAAGTAGAAAATGAAGGAATAATCTTGTGGCTCCGCCATGATCAATGTTTATGTTGGAAGTTCAATGAGCCATCATAGTAATCAATGTTTATATATAAATTGTTTATGATCACGGGAGTCTAGTGAAAACTAACAAATGTGAATTAATTGTTTGCTCCGTACTAGGCAGTACACGTAGTGTTTTCATATCTTTTACATAATCAGGACTAAAATATGAGAATACTAGAAATAAAGATTATATACAAACAGAGAGACTCCAGGATTTATATATCCTTTGCTTCCTTTCGTTTGCATTATCATAATGGAAGGAGACTAAATATGTCAGTACAGTACCTTGTGGATATTCTATATATTGTGCACAAATTTAGTTGGTAAACTTTTATTTTGGGATTAATAAATGACTTGTGTATTTTAAGTTGATAAGTTGTGCACCTGCCCATGAGGAAGTGGAACAGAATTCTTCTGTTGTAAGCCATATATGTCGTAAGAAGCCACTGGTTCAACCTGAAAGATAGAGAAATGCCTTCTGAATGCAACATACAGGTTTATAAACTATTCCACAATGATAGGGTCAACAGGAAGGGTGGTGGGGTGGCGATGAATGTCAGAGATAATTTAAATTGTTGTGTTAGACAAGACATAAGACTAGAAACATTATTATTTATTATTAAAGATTCGCCGGTATTCTCCCGGCCCGGGCTTTTTCCAAGTGGTGGCCCGGCCTTGGCTCCCTCTTTAGGGAGTGTCTGAGACTGAAGTCTCCCATGGGAGGAGGCACAAGTACCCCTTCATCTTTGGGACAAATTGCCCCTTCTCTAGTCTGCCATCCCCACCCCAAGGGGGATAATGGGAATGACAGTCTTGTGAGCTGTAAGCTCGGGCTCAGGCACCTTGGACACAGAATCTGTTTGGCTACAGTTTGTCGAAGGTCGTGAAAAATTAATTTTGGGAGTGATTTATAGGCCCCCAAACCTTGATAGGGAGTGCAGTATGCTGCTGTGGGACGAAATTCATAAGGTGTCGAGATATGAAAATGTTGTGTTAAAGGGATATTTTAACTTTAGACAAATTGATTGGAACAATGTGACAGGAAGTCTTGAGTCTAGTGACTTTCTTGATACGGTTCAGGATTGCTTTTTAAAACAGTTTGAGACAGAACCATCTAGAGGAAACAATCTACTTGACTTGGTTCTTGCCAACAAAGTATAACTAATTAATAATCTGGAGGTTAATGATGAGCTTGGGGAAAGTTATCGCAAATCACTAAGTTTCAATATATCATGGAATTACCCAGATCACTGCAAACAAGTCTCTGTCCCAGACTTCCGCTTGGCCGACTTCATGGGTGGGCTAAATTGGGATGACCTGACTATGGGTCAGGTAGGTGGTGTTGGTTGCCAATATGATTTGTTTCAGAGCTTAGTTCTAGCTGTCCAGACAACTTTTGCTCAGAGTAGAGAAATTAGATCTAATAAAAATGATACCAGATGGATAAACAATTGATTAAAACACCTCATTGGTAAAAAGAAAGGAATATATAGGCGTATCAAAAGAGGGGATGGACAGTTAAGAAATTAATATATTCAGTTAAAGAGAGAGATAAGAAAAGGAATAAGAAAAGCAAAAAGGTATTATGAGGCTAAAGTTGCGAGAGATTCGAAGACTAACCCAAAAGGGTTCTTTCAGGTATACAGAAGTAAGATTAGGGACAAGAGAGGCCACTTAAAACTAACTCAGGTCAGATCACTGACAGTGATAAGGAAATGTGTGAAATTTTCAACATTTACTTTCTCTCAGTTTTCATTCAGGAGATACTAGCGAAATTCCAGAAATAATAAATTATGTAGAACAGGACGATAATAAACTATGCACGAAGGGTTTTAAACATATGTAAAGAGGAACTTGACAAACCTTATATCACTACAAACTGCCATAGTGCCAGACAAGTGGAAAATGGCTATTTATAAGGCAGGTGACAGGTCCTTAGCTTCAAACTATAGACCAATGAGCCATACCTCCATAGTGGGAAAATTTACGGAATCAATAATTGCCAAGGCAATTTGCAGCCATCTTGAAAGGCATAAATTGATTAATGAATCTCAACACGGTTTTACAAAAGGGCGTTCCTGTCTTACGAATTTACTAACTTTTTTCACTAAGGTATTTGAGTAGGTAGATCATGGTATTGAATATGATATTGCGTATTGACTTCAGTAAGGCTGTCGATAAAGCTGCATATCAGAGGCTATTGAGGAAACTTAAGGGACATGGAAAAGGAGAAA